TGTTTTTTGAACATTAAAGCATGTCAACATATTCTGTTACACCATATACACCAAATAATGATCTTTAAAAAAGCATCATATGACCCCTTTAAGTAGTCAGAGTACAAAAAAAATGTTGATAACACTTTACAGTAAGGTACCATACTTTAACATTGTCATGTTATGGATTTTGCGTTCACTTGTTTGAAGTGTTACCAACATTGTAAAGTTCAAATTTGGTTTTATATGTACAATACAAAGTATCATATCTATGAGCAATTACTGGGTGAAAAATAAGCATGTGATCATCGTTTTTCCACTGACATCATGCCATTAGAAGAGGAAAGAGAAAAGAAAAGAACACAACTTTCAATACTGAAAAGGAACTTTTTAAAAACTGTTTTATATGCCTGCAGACCAGTATATATGAAGACCACAATGAAGGATGTATAACACACTTGATTAGTACCATTATTATTTCAGTTAACAAATTTTTATATTATTTCATCAGCATTATGGAGATTATGTGTAATCTAGTTGATGAATGTTGTTGGCTACTGACATCAATATTCATTTTCTCAGTTCAGTGATCTTTGTTTTATCTTCTCCATTCTCAACAACTGGATTCTTGTTAATGTTTCTATCATTAGCCAGCAGTTACTAGGTTAATTTGGCTAGCCGTTTTTAGCTAGTTAAGGTTACAGTTAGGGTTAGTTGAAACAAATAGCATATTTGAAGCGTTCATAACATGCTCTTGATTGCTTATGCACCACAAAATAAAAAAGATTGTATCAAAAAATACATAGAAAAAGGCATGCTGTACATTTAATAGTAAAAACCCTATTGATGAAAAATGTCCCAACCTCAGTATAAAAATAATGTGAGGGTGTATAACAAATAAATTCACTTTAGCTATAAAACCATGGTGGATATATAAAGTAGTTAATGGGTGAAAATGTAAGTGAAGCTTTACATTCAAGACAATACAATTTGTAAACAAAAAAAACATTTTGTGCAACAGACTAATTAAACATTATTATTATTTATATTATATGTACTATGACATGCATTTCTGTAAAATATTTTATAACACAGTACATACTCAGCACCTGATTAACATAGACACCAATGAAAATACAGCAAAAGTCACATTTACGATCTTTAATGAATGGCTTTTCAAAATTAAAATATGACTATTTGTAAAGGAAAAATAATGTAGTGTTGTACAGTAATGGGATTTCCACAAAAAAAGTGGTTATATGACAATTACGAGACATGATTTTGTCCTATCAGGACCTGAATAATTAATAAACACTCATAAAAACAAATCTAATTTGAAATTGAATATGGTTATTAAAAAAAAAGTGCTGTAATAGTTCCCAGTACTGCAACACCCCAAGTCAAGCAAAATCACGTCAGTTCATTAAAGGAATAGTTCACCCAATAATGAAATCTGCTTTACAAGTGAAAAACAGTCCAAAACGGTTGTAAACAAATATGTTGGTGGATTTTGAGAGGACAACAGTGGATGGACTTTTTCACTGGTGAAAGTGTTGTTATAGATTATGGACTTACATTTTCAGCAAATTTTTATTTTTGGGTGAACTAGCCTATTCCGTTATAGAATAACCCATAATAATCAAGTTTTTCATGATCTCCCTGAGGAGAAGGTACCCCTCTGGCGTCATCTCTTGTCCATCAAATGACAGAATTGTTGGAACACCTGATCTTGAATATCACATAAGTGGCGATTAACACCAGTGCAACCGCCACGCCGGATAAAACAATAGCCCAGAATGTGGTTCTGTCTGCAGGAGAAATGACATTAATGATTTTATAAACAGATGAATCCATCAACAGCTTCAGCAACAGCAACAGCGTGACTCTACTGGTTGTTCAACACACACACTGCCAACAGTAGTCCTGGAGCAGCCTGGCAGGAACACAACACCAGTGTATGGGGACCACAAGAGACTATTGTTGCACTATTCCTCATTTCGCCTAAAAGCGCCTGATGAATCATTAAATGCAAATGCAAAGCTTATTCAAGACCACAAAAGCACCCTGTAGATAAAGAATGAACTTTGGGATAAGTCAATACTGAGAGTTTAAGATAATCAATTTGTATAAATATGCTGAATGTCACAAACACATGCATGTTTCCTTCCTCATTTTCAGGGTTTTCATTTCAAATGAAATACATTTTTAATAGTATATAACCAACGAAAGTTTTATTTTTATTGACTTATTGATATTGTTTTCTAGTTATTGTTGCTTTGTCTTAAAGGGATAGTTCACCCAAAAATGAAAATTTAATGTTTATCTGCTTACCCCCATGGCATCCAAGATGTAGGTGACTTTGTTTCTTCAGTAGAACACAAACGGAGATTTTTAACTCAAACCGTTGCAGTCTGTCAGTCTTATAATGGAGGTGAATGGGAATCACGGCTTTGGGAGTCAAAAAAACATACACAAACAAAACCAAATGAAACCCTGCGGCTCGTGACGATACATTGATGTGAAAAGACACGAAACGAAACAGTATTTATATCGTTTCTTACCTCTGATTTTCACCGCAATGTCCGAACTGTCTGTCCTGAGCGCGTCCTCCTGGGCGCGTTCTCAACAGCCGGCACCTGATGCGTCTTTTTCTTCTTCTTGCTTTACAGCGGATCGCAGACTTATAAGTGGATTACTGCCACCTATCTCTCAAATGTACCATTGACACTCCTAATTGAGAGTGTCAATGGTTTGAGATATTTGAGAGATAGGTGGCAGTAATGCACTTATAAGTCTGCGATCCGCCGTAAAGCAAGAAGAAGAAGAAGAAGAGTCACACGTCGGATGAAGAAGAAGATATAAACATCAAATTTTCATTTTTGGGTGAACTATCCCTTTAATGCTTAGAAAATTGCACAAGCAGATTTGTAACACAAACATAAGCTTAGACCACCCTGTATCAGAAGTCATTGTTATATAGTGCTGCATGGATGACAGAATTTTGTAGGCCAAAATGCTGAAAAAAAAAGGAGTAAGCATTTTAGCACTTCTGGTTCAATCCATAGTTTTCAGTCACATGACTGGCTTCAAGACCTGCTGGGCAAAATATCCATAGAACTGCAGCACAAGCCTGCCATTTTCTATCTGTTTCCAATCCTCAAATATTTAGATCAAGAATAAAACAAAGATATGTTAACAAAAAGGCAATTTTGGCCATTTGCAATCCATATCAAGCACTCGCCGCAATATTTCAATCACTGAAAACAGCAGGACATTCTAAAAAGTTTAATGTGAAAAGACTTAAAGTGCCTTTAAAACAGAGATAAAAAATTAAATTCAGTACACACCTTACTGATGATGCGTGCTTTATACAGGCAAGCAAATGAGCTCGGAATATGAACGCAATGCGCTAAATGGTTAAGTGTTTTCTTTATAGTGGTTTGCTATGGGAAAACATTTAATGTTAAACTGCTTGAGTTGAACTTGAGCTGAACTGCATCTGCTTGCCTGTAGAAAGTAAGGTGTATACTGAATTTTATCTTTTAATATCACTACTACATTACTACTTAATGCAAACCTGTAAAAATAACTGGTGGTCAGTGGAGGAAAGCCTTGTGGGCATTCCTGTAAGGGTGTGACATCACGTGAAAACTATGAATTGTCTGGAAGTGAATGGGTTTTTGGTTAAATGCCTGAAATAAGGTCTGTGTTTATATTCTATGATATAAAATATAAAAGTAATTTTTTTAAAGCTTTTTTTTTGTCTTAAAAATGGTCATTGCTAACAAGTGGCTAAATGGAACTACAGAGGTTGGCAGGGACATTAAACATCATCACGCCAAACAAGAAAACTAGTCCACTTTTACAGTCTCATTTTACAGCCGAAATTATTCTAACTCAAACTTTCAGGGAAAATGTTTTATAAATAAAGCCTAAAAGACTCGTCAGAAGCATAGTTCTGTCATGACAACTCTCTGAGAGTTTAGCATGGTAATGTACATGGCAATGCTAATGTGTTTGGTTTTAGCGAAATAGATCTGCTACGCTGCTGCGGCAGAGCAAGTACCGAGACTTTCTACTGCCAATACATCCACAGACATGCTGCTGTGAGCATGTAGGAAATACTGCTGCTGCACATATAACACATAAACCCCCTATATAACATATATGAAATTACCCTGTAAAAGGTCTATACAGGTGGAGCTGGGGAAGGTGGAGGGTTTCTGAAGCACGTTGTAACTGCTACAGCAAGCGCTAGCTGAGTATTTGAATGTTGAGCAGCAAGCTCATTGGCTGTTGATACGAAAATAATCCAATCAGCTGCGCCATGTGAATAATGATGACATTATGTCAGATTGAGTTACAACCTATTGGACTGTGCCATCTAGAGTTTCATGACAGAACTTTGGATTTATAGCGATGTTGAAGTCATGTGACCATGGTCTAGTTTGTTTATAGCCTATGTTTAGCTTTTTTCTTCTGCCAATTTTAGGCTTCATAATTGAAGATGGAGATTATCATTATGAACAAAATGTGCAAGAATCATAAACTTTTGTTGGTCACAGAGCTTATTTTCTGAAATAATCCAAAATCTTAGGTAATGCTAACTTTCGGACTGCAGAGCCCTATTGAACAGTAAGGACTGGTTCACACAGGTTCACGCTTTGAAAAATGCGAGATGTATGCAGTGGAATGGGGAAAAATGCAAGGTCTTGGGACCCGTTTTTTAAAAAGTTGAATAACCTTTTTAACTTGAGTACTGTGTTTTTAGACTGCTGTGTCATGTGCAAGATGCTGCAAAAGACGTGAGACACAAGCTCAATGGTCAAACAAATCTGTCTAGCGTGTTTACACAAAAAAACTATGGAAACGTTGCGTAGTAGTGGAATAGAAAATTCATTCTGTGTGAACAGCCCCAAAAAATGTAAAAATCTGTAAATTTAACTTTAAACTTCCCGAAGGCAAAGAGGCAGATTAGTGTTTATTCAATCAAAACTAACCTGTTTGCTCAGATTTGATGATGAACACTTTGCTGTCACTTCCCAGAGAGTTTGTGGCAGTGCACGTGTAGTTTCCTGGACTGAGGAGGACTGTGGAGGCCTGGAGCACTGAGAAGCTGATCTCCTCTTTCAGATGCTCTGAGTGCCATGTGTACGTAGGAGCCGGGTTTGCCTTCACTGTACAGTTTAGCGTAACCTCGTCGTTTTTAATGATGGTCTCTGTTGAATTGAAGTGTTTTGGTTTATCTGAGGAGGCCAGAGAGACATTTAATAGCACAACAGCACCATGATGAGCAGCTGTTATAAACAGATCAGAAAAATACTATACAACTGAAACCTTTTTATCTGTTAATTCTATTCATAATATGTAATATTCAATGTTAATAAGCAATTATCTGCATGTGATGAAATATGACTGTTGCACATCCTTCACACTAGAAGGCCATTCAGAAAATATAAACTGAATTATACGGCAAGCTTAGCAATAAAAAAACTTACAGTACAACTCAACATTAAGACGTCCTGATGTTTCTTTTGGAGGAGGTTGAGGTCCTTCTGCTCCCAGTTCCAGCTCTGCTTCACACCTGTATTGAGCTCCATCATCAGCTCTGTCTGGACGGATCAGGAGTGTGGTGGTTTCATTCACTGGAGTCTTGCTATTCTCAATGAAAGTGGTTTGATTCAGCAGAGTCTGTCCTTTGTACCATTTGACAGTGAGATCCTGAACTGGAGCCACATTGTGAACATCACACCGGAGCTCATACTGCTTTCCCTCTATCATTGGTCCGCTGTGATCCACAATGCTGATGGACACACTGTCTGGAGTCTCTGTGGAGGAAGACTTACAAACTCTGAAATCTGCAGTGATGAATGTACATTTATTAGATATTTCTGAGAATGAAAAGACAAAAATATAAGTAACAGGGAAACTGACTGTAAATAGTGACTGGGAGCTCTACTTGACACTGTTTCTCATGGTTTATGTAGCAGAATGGCTGTATGTCCCATTCTATCAGATTTGACACTCTCCATGTGATCAGACTGTCTCTGGTCATGGTCACTGCTCCCTCACTGGCTTCCCATCCCATCCCTTTATGTGGGACTGAAGCGCTACAGTTAACTGCTACAGAACCGCTGTATCTCACAACAGCTCTCTGTGGGTTGAGCTGAACAGGACATTCAGCTTGTGTACCTGTTAAACACATTGAAGAACACAGAATAAATGCATATAGATATTGTTTACTAGAAAGACTGAACACAGATAACCAACCATTATATGTTAAAACTTTTTTACTGACCAACTGCATGCAAAACAGACAAGAAAAGTTTTTGGATATTGTAGAAGACCATCAGTCTATCGCAGTTTATGACTCTTTTAAAACAAAGAGGCTCATCGATTCTTACCATCTGGGAAATGAAACTTAGAAACTTCACTGACACAGCAGGGTCATTCTAAAGCATGTCCCTCACACAAGTGTGTAAGCAATTTACAACAACAAGTGGGCACCACCTTTTACCATGTGTTATCTTTTGTAAAGACGTCAAAGAAAAATCCACTACATTTATTTTCGATTTTCATTTTATTTCAGTGTTTCCTCCATAAATATGCATTTTTGTCCTGTCTTGGCCTTGCCTTCTTAACCTCTCCTTTCTGTTTTAGCAATCAAGTACGTCACAGGAAATAAACAAATGTATTCATAATTTAGAAGACAAATTTATTTTTTACTAAAAATTCGTTTCCACAGGTTATGTGTCAGTCCTGTTATCATCATAACTCGTTATTAATATGATTACAAGGATATTTGTTGTAATAACAGCATTGAATACTTTAAAATAAACAGCTTGTATTGTCATGACTGTGAAGTGTGAACACAAGATTAGTAATGGCTAAATGAACTATAAAACTACTAACTTTGTTACTTTACAAATCCACAGGTTACATGCACTGCTGAAGAGTTTGCCGGCACTAAAAATACTGAGCACTCAAGATCATATTACAAGCGCTACTGTAGATAGCAGCGTGACTCCTTACTGTACAGTAATGAATTAACTCAAATAGGTCAACATTTTAACACAGACAATAGAGGTCAACGACGCTCTGAATCACTCACATGAAAGCGAATGTTTAGAACACATTCAAGCGCGTATGCTACTGGTTAATGAATGTTCTCGCTTCTGGTATCGAAAGAATGAAAGGGAAATAAGTCAATACAAACCTGTGAGAGTCACAAACAGTAAAACTGCTGAAAGATAAACAAGTCCATAAAAACGCTGCAGCATGTTGTAAGTGTTCGAGAGTACGTTACCATCAACCAGACAAAGGCGCGGCCAAGACGTGCGAATAAATAAATGTGTCGCCTCTGACTAGTGACTGTCCAGCGGCTCCTCACGCGAAACCCCACCCAGATCACTGTGGATATGGTTACGGAAGCACCTATAGAAACGAAAGCATTCATGCAGTTCATATGGGAGAACCCGTGCGCGCAAACAAGCTTCTGAGGGAAATAAGACAGTGGCTACAATGTTGCCAATTTAGCAATTTTGCTAAACTAGATTTAGCAACTTTTCAGACTACCCTAGCAACTTTTTTTTTGTTGTTCAAAAAGCACCTAGCAACAAATTTAGCTATTTTTAAAAAGTATTTGGCAACTTTTAGCAACTTTTGTAAAGTGACTCAAATGATAAAAAAGGCACATATTTTCAACTAAATTACACAAAAAGAGGAAAACATTGAACAGCTAGCCAACCAAGCAGCACATCAACCTGGAGAGAGCTGGAAAAAGATGCCTAACAGTAAAAAAATCAAATGTGCATTAAGTTGCTAGTTCCAATTGGTCAATAATAAATGCACATTTATGATACAGCATGTTATTAGCTTGTATATATAATTGTTGTTCAGTTAGGTACACTGTAAGAAAAAATATGTGGAAAAACTGAAAAGGTACTAGTCATTTTCTGCCAGGATGTTATCCATTAAGTTGTAACCCTGTAACCTTAAAACACAAAATGCAATGTGGAATTCAAAACACAGGTAAAACACCTGTAAAAAATAAATACGTATTGTTCATATACCCTTACGAAAAATAAGTTTATTCAAGTGTGCTATTTGTATACTTCTTTTAAACTAAAAATAGGAAAGTATACTTTTAGTCTGCTTGTTATGTACTTCTCAGAAATGGGCTTTATGTACTTCTCAGAAATATACTTAAAATGACATTTAAGTATACTTGTACTTAAGTATACTTACTAAAATACACTTGAAGTATACTACTTTTTGGTAAGGGTAAACATTACATTGTGTCCTATTTTTACAGACTTTTGTGTAGCACACTAACTAACTACCAGTACACTGCTTAAAACTATAATGGTTAAGAATGTGCAGTTCTACTAGTTAATAAGAAAATGCATAAAATGTGTAACTGTTCAATAATTCAATGTTGTAAAAAAATCCGATCATATGTTACTTTTACAAATTAAAATATTTTATGTTTATAATATTTTTAGGAACAAATAACATTTAAAAAAATATTTTTCGCTGAGATTTGAGTAATCTCGTTGTGTATTCTACGTAAAAACGCTGTTTTGTGTCATGGTTATGCAATGACATCACACAATGACATCACAATGTCATTTAGCAACTTTTAGCAACAAATCGATCTGCCTTTAGCAACTTCCCCTGAAAATTAGTTGGCAACACTGAGTGGCTAAGACGTTTCAAATCTCAGACTCTCTGTAACATGGCGCATTATTAAAGGGATACAAACCTTAGACAGAATACATTTTTACCTGCTGGAAAAACAACTAAAACCAGGCTATGCAGGTTGGTCCGCTGGCCTCCCAGCCTTACCTCTAAGACCAGCTAAAAGTGGTCAAAATCCCTTTAAAACTGTTAAACAGCTACAGCCAGGCTGGAAGCGAAGGCTGGTTTCTTTTTTTTTATTACAAAACTTGTAGAAACATACAGAAACAGGGAAGCGAGACATGAATATATTCCAACAAAAAGCAATTATAAAAATAGTATAAGAAAATTAACAACATATTCAACAGATAATAGCTTTGGATTTTCATAATAAAAGATAACATCTTTGAGCGAAGGCTGGTTTCAGTTGGTTATTTTAACAAGGACAGTGATGAAAATGTACTGTTTGGTTAACACATTTGAAAGTTATTTAATTGAAATAAAATGTCTCCATGTTGGAACAGTCGATTCATCGTCTTTCATCGTAATAATCGATTCAATCATTTTTTATCATGTTTATTCAATGTTAGAATAATATCGTAGACACTGGCCATAATGTTTTTTTTTGTTGTTGTTTTTAATATATATAATAGATATAACAAGATTAAAAATGCTAATCCTGAAAGACAAACAAGGGTGCATCTGTTTCAACATATCTGTTTGATTTACTGTTATAAAAAAGGAGCATCTTGGTGATTTCTCTTTATCTTATCACAATTCCCACCAAATATGTTTTGCAAAATTACAATAAATCTTCAAGCAACAAACAGTTAGACAACACCAAATAGGAAAGCACCTGAGGTAAATTAAAATGTTGTAGTTGTTAATTAATTGTGTAGTTGTTATACACAACAGATCTGTAATGAACCAACTTGATAAAATGCAGACAATTGTTCAATACTCTACAAGATGTTAATTTTTATTTTTATTTTTTTTGCAGAAGACTGAAAATGATTCTGTGAAAATAATATTTCTTTTATTAGATTTTTTTAAACAAATGTTTCCTAAAATGTTCTCAACAAATTCATTTACAAATTCAAATGTCATGTGCTTATAAAAACAGATGGTATTAATTCCATAAACAAATTTAAATCCCACCAGAATACTGGGGAGATTACATTCATATAGTGATTAAACGCATAGAAATTTAGTGACATGATCAAAAAGATAGTTCAAACAAACATGGAAATTCTGTCATCATTTATTCATCCTCGTGTCGTTCCAAACTTGTGTGACTTGAAGTGTTTTGTGGAACTGAAAAGTTGAATTTTTGAATAATCTTTACACAATGATTTTCTATACAACAGCAATTGATAGTGACCACACATCTCAAACTGAAAACAGACAAAAAATGCATATTGCTTTAGAATATATAGTTGTATGGCCTACCTTTATAATTTTTAAAACATCTTTTGAAGCTTTACAGACATAGCCACTATGAGCTACGTAAAGAAGGAAAAAAACAACAGCATGCAGCTTTTAGAACATGAGGGTGAGTAAATGATGACAGACCCTTCATTTTTGGTTAAACTATGCTTTTAACATCATTATACAGCTTGAGCCATAAAACCGGCACACTTATTTGATGTCCAGCATCTCTTTTTTTACAGACTATGAGGCCTGAGAGAATTTTCAAAAATTCATCCAAATATTTTCCCACAGGTTCACCATGAGACCCCTCATACGCAAGCTTTCACTTCTTCACAGTTACCGTGTGCTATATTTCCAGCCTTTAAAATGCGGATTTTGCCAGAGGAACTGAAACTTTAAATGAATAACTTGTTTAACTAAGTAACAGACTCAACTATGGTGTCTTTCATAAGTTCACACTTACATATAATCAGATTGAGCAAATAGTATGTATATTTGGCATGCTGTCCAAAGGGAGGGCTCCGATCTCCCAGAGAACTCCCCCCATATCCCAAGTTGGGATAGGAATAGTTAGGAGTGAGAAGCTGGGGTGGAGGAGGGATGCCTGACAACTGTCATAAAAAAGAGGTAAGTTGGCTGTATATTTACTATCATGCTTAATTGGTTGATTATCTGAACATGCTCCTCCTGAACTTTGTTAATAAAATATAATTTCTTATACTGTATAGCACTTGACAAAACATAAATATTCAAACTGATCAATGTGCCAGAGACATATACAAAAGAATAGTCTTGTTAAACAATTTAACAAAAGCCTTCCCTTAAATAGGTGTACATAGCAAATATTACTCAAGTAATGTCACTTGTAGTTGATGAACATTCACTTATATCAAGATCCTAGATTCCTGAAAACGTCCACTGCAGACATCAGGTCCTTTAATTTGAAATTCATTCAGCATTTCTTTGTCATCTGTTCTGTTAGGTATTTTCCTCTGGTCCATTAAATGGCAGACTGCTGGAAACGAAAAAGTTCATTTTGTGATGTAATTAACAGTTAAACTGGCTCTAGAAGTGAATGAATGAACAGGTGCTCCATAAAATAAAAATAAAGAAGCCATGAAGAAACTAGCCCCAAAGTAGAGGCCTAAAGACTTCCAGTGTCAAAATCCCGTTAATTGTGGACACTGTGACTCGGCAGATGCGGCGAACCCAGGGATTCATAACCTAAGCAAGGATATTGCTCTGAGAGAGTTTCTTCATAGGAATAGGGCTGTGTTTGCCATTCTGTGCTATGTTTCCATTTTGCACACTAGGCTTGGCATCCTTCAGGCTATAACGTCCCATCTTGGCTGTTTTGTAGTAGATACAGTAGATGAAGATGAAGATGACTGAGATGAACGCCACAGTGACTGCAATAAGTCCTGCTATTAAGGGCAGGTAATCCTCTGTGTCAAGAGAAAAAAGCACACCAAAAGATTAGACAAATAACACGGCCTAAACCGACAAGTGCTAAAATAGCTGGGGAAAAAAAACATACTTCATGATTTTACCATATCAAAGCAAATAAGCAAAATGAAATGGTTAATCATAGCACGTGTACATGTGTAATCAAAACATTTCAATGCATTGTGATTACATCATTCAGTGTCTCTTACATCATTTTTAATGATTTGGTAAATTTTATTCATTATGATTTCTGAACATCATACATTTTATTTTTAGACAAGTGTCTGGCCTGATAAAACTTAGTTTTGAAACATCCCCATATTCTAAAGTAAAGCTACATTTAAACTGCAAGAAAGCGGAAAGAGTTGGAAATGTAAACCAAAACAAATGCAAAAATGCATAGTTACCTTTTAATACAACTTTTATTTGTCTGATGGTCCTGCCAGCAGAATTGTTTGCATCGCAGTACACATACTCAGGTGTTGACTCTGATATAGTAAGAGTTTCATTATATACTATAACATTTGAGCCGAGGCTCCAGCTGATTGTTGGTTTTGGGTTTCCCTCGGCTTCACAAACAAGCACCTCTGGATACCCTCGAAACACAGGCACTATGGAGGGCAGTTTGGTCTCATTGATGATCGGTTTAACTACAGGAAAGAGCAAAGAAAAAACAGGTTTCACATGATAATAATCAAGACCATTGAAATACCTGCTAAGAACTTGGACAAATTATTTTACATACAATGTACAGTAATGCTGAGATGTTCTGATGACACTGTTGAACGGTGAGGTCCTTCTGCTTCTAGCTCTGCTTCACACCAGAATTGAGCTCCATCATCAGCTCTGTCTGGGCAGACTTTATATGTTAAATTGGCTGGAGTCTTGATGGTGTCAGTGACGTTGATTTGATTCAGTTTGTACCATCTCACATCA